CCAGCTCCCCTTTTTAGTTCTTTATATTGCAAGTTAGCAGGTGGTTCTTTAAAACTGAGATCTATCTGGGTGCAGTAGTACACACCTATAGTCCCACTATCTTGGGAGTCTGAGGCAGGAGGATCACAAGTTTAAAGTCAGCCTTAGCAATGTAGCTAGACTCTAAGCAACTTAGCAAGACCTGTCTCAAAACATAAAGGGCTGGGGATGTGGCTCAGTAGTTAAGTACCCCCTGGGTTCAATACCCAGAACCAAAAAAAAATTTCAGATTAATGGGCTGGAAAGGTACCTCAGTGGTAGAGTATTTGCCTAGCATGCTTGAGGCCCTGAGCTTGATCCCCAGCACTGCTAAAACAAAATACTGATTTGATTTTAACCTATTTCTTTAAAAATTCCCTTGTGCCTGTATCACCTGCCTCCCTCGAGTAGCCAAACCCTCTTATTCGTTGATGCTTGGCATACTTACACTCTTTGGAATTTGTCACATTCTTCCTTCTTTATACTATTGTTTAGGCTGTTCCCTCTGTTTAGAGTGTTCTTTCCTTTCTTCCCATAGTTAAATCCAGCTCATCCTTCAGGTTTCAATTCAAGCATCAGTTCTTCAAGACAGCTTGACATCCTTGAATAGCACAGATCTCCTCTCGCATGTTCTATAAGCCTCATCTGCTTTTCCTTTATAACACATGAATGATTACGATTTCACATTAGCAGGGTCATTCAGCTATTAGATTAGAAACTTCTTGACAGCAAAGACCATGTTTATCCCCCAGTTCCTCCCTATGTATTTCCAGAAACAAATACATAGTTAATACTCAGTGAATGGTGTTGAATGAGTGGGTGGATGAGCTGCCACTGTAAGGTGTCAAGTGTGCTGTGAAAAGTTGAGGATAGAAGATATGTCCATACTTGGAGAACTGGGGGTGAATAGGGTCCCTGAAACAACTTCAGGGTACCACCTGGGGATGAGATTCAGGCTCCTGAGCCAATGAAGAGACATTGTATTCCTCACATCTTCTCTGCTCCCTTTCCTTATAGGTTTGACCGTACCCTGGGGGGCCTGGAAATGGAGCTTCGGTTACGTGAGCACCTGGCTGGGCTCTTTAATGAACAGCGCAAGGGCCAGAGAGCCAAGGATGTGCGGGAGAACCCACGTGCCATGGCCAAGTTGCTGCGGGAGGCAAATCGACTCAAAACTGTCCTGAGTGCCAACGCTGACCACATGGCCCAGGTGCCCACTTGGAGCTGCTTGAGGACAAATTTGCCCCACCCAGAGAATGGAGAGCCCTGCCATTCTCCCAAATTTCTAGTCTTCTGGATTTACCCTGCCCACCCAGAGAGCAGGATCTGGTCAAGAACCCTCTGATACCCTTCATCTCCCCTAGATCGAGGGCCTGATGGATGATGTGGACTTCAAGGCAAAAGTGACCCGAGCGGAATTTGAGGAGCTGTGTGCAGACTTGTTTGAGCGGGTGCCTGGGCCTGTCCAGCAGGCCCTACAGAGTGCTGAAATGAGCTTGGTGAGGGTGTAGCGGGAAGCAGGGAGGACAGGTGGATGTCAAGGGGAAGGGTCAGTGTTGGAGAAGAGCATTAACTGCTTACAGTCACACTTCCTTTTCTTTCCCTACTGCAGGATGAAATTGAACAGGTGATCCTGGTGGGTGGGGCCACTCGGGTCCCCAAGGTTCAGGAGGTGCTGCTGAAGGCTGTGGGCAAGTGAGTGTGTGTGTGGGGGGGGGGCGGTGCATGGGGCCTACTTCTGCTCAGGACATTGCTGCAGGGCTGGGCAGCTGGAGGGCTGAGGCGGGGAAAATCCTGGCTCCTGGGTGGATGGCACTGAAGTCTGGGACTCTCATAGGGAGGAGCTAGGCAAGAACATCAACGCAGATGAAGCAGCCGCCATGGGGGCTGTGTACCAGGCAGCTGCACTGAGCAAAGCCTTCAAGGTGAAGCCATTCGTTGTCCGCGATGCAGTGGTCTACCCCATCCTGGTGAGTGAACTTCTCTCTGATCAGGAGATGAGTTCCCTTTACCTCTCTTGCCCACACTAGCCTGTCCCATTGTGTTCCTGCTGAGAGACCCCCTCCATCCCAACGTCGAGTGAGACCCTCCATCCCTGCCCCACAACCTGCTCTAGTTTTCCAGTGTGCCTTCTCTGCCTGCTGTGTAGGTAGAGTTCACAAGGGAGGTTGAGGATGAGCCTGGCGTTCGCAGCCTAAAGCACAATAAGCGTGTGCTCTTCTCTCGAATGGGGCCATACCCTCAACGCAAAGTCATCACCTTTAACCGCTACAGCCATGATTTCAACTTTCACATCAACTACGGTGACCTGGGCTTCCTGGGGCCTGAGGATCTTCGGTGAGGGGCGGTGGAGCAGGATGAGAGTTCCAGGGAAGGGTGGTGTGGCTGTCAGATGACTTAAGGATTTGGGGGAGGGAGATGTGGGGCCTGCAGGGCTGAAGTGGGAAGCAGGTAGTTGGGTTAGAGTGAGGTTGTAAGCAGCCTCTCCTAGGAGTGCTTCCATCCTCTGAGCACTTCCTTGGGTAGTGCCCCTGACCTCTGGGGCCCTAAGGCTATATAACCTGGTATTGGATGTGGGATGGGTGGGTTTCCTCAAACTCTTTTTTCCCTCTCAACTAGGGTATTTGGCTCCCATAATCTGACCACAGTGAAGCTAAAAGGTGTGGGTGAGAGCTTCAAAAAGTATCCAGACTACGAGTCCAAGGGCATCAAGGCACACTTCAACCTGGATGAGAGTGGTGTGCTCAGTCTAGATAGGGTGAGAGCAAAAGGAGACCTGTGTGCAGGGCAGGGACCTGGCTTTGCCAGCCTTTGCGAGAGTGGGTTCCATAGGAAAAGGGTTTTAGATTCAGATCAATCTTGGCTGTAGATAACAGGGTTAGCAAACCTCTGAGGCCCTCTAGTGGGGCCCTTTGCATGGCCTATACATGCTTATGGACTTTGTAACTTGCTTAGAAGGAACTATAGAATGGGTAAGAACCTTTTTTTTTTTTTTTTTTTTTTTTGGTGATAGTGGGGATCCATGCACATGCTGAGTAAGGGCTCTGCTGCTGAGCTACACCCCTGGTCTGAGAAACCTATTTTTGAAGAATAGTTCTGGGCCTGATATCTTCTGGCACATAACTTTGGGAAATGATGACCCATGGAGACATGAAAGGCTCTGAGGGGAAAAGAGAAGCTATGATCCTGTCCTTGGGCTCATAATTAAAGGGGTTAGGAGTCCTTAGAAAAGGTAGGTGAGAGACTAGGCCAGCACAGCTGCCAGGCCCAAAGCATGCATAAGCAGGCATTCACCATGGTAGGGTGTTTGTGAAGAAATATGGGTTGGTATTTGTATTTATATTGAACCTTGTCTTCAGGTGGAATCTGTATTTGAGACCCTGGTGGAGGACAGCCCAGAGGAGGAATCTACTCTTACCAGTAAGGATGAGTATGTGCATATGTGTGAGTGAGCATGCACAAATGGAAATGTACTCATGTATAGCTTGGGAGGTGGGCAGGGCTTTGTCCTTGGATCAGGGTCAAGTCACTGTGTGGTTCCCTTTTGATCTTTTGGGCTTCCTTTCCCCTAGAACTTGGAAACACCATTTCCAGCCTGTTTGGAGGTAGTACCACACCAGACACCAAAGAAAATGGGACCGATGCTGTCCAGGTAAGCTCAGGATGGAGCCTGGAGAGCAGTGTGGAGGCAGGTAGCAACAGCAGAGACAGGGAGTCAGGTGGACATCCCAGCTGCCAGGGATGCAGAGGACCTCATCTTCCCCCTTAGCTGGTGCCAGGTTTAGCATTTCCTGTTATTCTTCTGTACTGGGAGCCATTCTGTGTACCAGAACCCAAAGCTCATTTCTCTCATGCCCAGATGCTCTCCCTTTGCCAGCTACACTGCTACAGACCAAAAAGTCCTGACTCTGTCCCTGTGGTTGTCATCTGTCTACCCCCAAGCTGTGTCATCAGTGGAGATCCCCTTTAGAGCAGAGGAGCTGGTGTGACTGAGGCCAGGCCTGGCCCACAAGCTCTTCTAGTGATTGTAATATGAGGTGCCTGTCATTGTTTTCCAGGACGAAGAGGAGAGTCCTGCTGAGGGGACCAAGGATGAGCCTGGGGAGCAGGCGGAGTTCAAGGAGGAAGCTGAGGCCCCAGTGGAGGATACTTCTCAGACTCCACCCCTTGAGCCTAAAGAGGACACTCCTGAGGGAGAAAAGCCTCCTGAAAAAGAAAGTGGGGACAAGTCTGAGGCCCAGGTGAGCTATAGGTCGGGGAAGGCCAGTGGACCTAGGGACAAAGGGAGTGGATGGATGCCTCTTTATTACTTACCTGGTGGAGAAGGCAGAGGCCTTTTCTGATGTCCCCAACTCTTGCCATCCAGAAATCCAGTGAGAAGGGGGAGGCAGAACCTGAGGGTGGCCCTCCAGCCCCTGAAGAAGAGAAGAAGCAAAAGCCTGCCCGGAAGCAGAGGATGGTAGAGGAGATTGGGGTGGAGCTGGTAGTTTTGGACCTGCCTGACTTGCCTGAGGATGAGCTGGCTCGTTCAGTGCAGAAGTAAGTAAAGACTGTACTCATGTGTGAAGTAGGCACAATGTGGAATGGTGTACTGGGAGGGGTCCGAGTTCTAGCCTACCTCTCCTACATCCCTGCTTCTTTGTTCCACAGACTTGAGGACTTGACCTTCCGAGACCTAGAGAAGCAGGAACGGGAGAAAGCGGCCAACAGCTTGGAAGCTTTCATCTTTGAGACCCAGGTTGGCAGGCTGGAGCAGCATCCCCTTCCCCCTGGCACTTGGATTGAAGGAACCGGCTCTGAGCCTTGCCCTTGACTCACTGCATGCATGCATTTGTGTCCTTTGCTAGGATAAGCTGTACCAGCCTGAGTACCAGGAAGTGTCCACTGAGGAACAGCGTGAGGAGATCTCTGGGAAACTCAGTGCTGCATCTACCTGGCTGGAGGATGAGGGCTTTGGGGCCACCACTGTGGTGAGGGGCCTCCCATGAAGTGGTGGGCAGGATGAAAGCTCTCAACTTCCTCTCCCAAGGTCAGAGAGTGAGAAAAGCTAGGGTGCAAGCCATAAGCAAGGAATTAGGCTGAGCACAGTGGTGTACACCTGAAGTCCCAGCTACTTGGGAGGCTGAGGCCAGAGGATCGTTTGAGCCCAGGAGTTTGGGTCCAGCGTAGGCAAATAGAGCTAGACTCAAAATAAGAGGAGCTCAGTGATAGTGTGCCAGCCCCACATTCATGAGTCCTTGGGTTCAGTCCCCAGCGCCAAATAAAACAAGGACTCAGGGCTGACTCTAGGACTCTCCTGTCATCCCCTCTGCCCACCTCATGTACCTCAGATGTTGAAGGAGAAGCTGGCCGAACTGAGGAAGTTGTGCCAAGGGCTATTTTTCCGAGTGGAAGAACGCAAGAAGTGGCCTGAACGGCTGTCTGCCCTCGACAATCTCCTCAACCATTCTAGCATGTTTCTCAAGTGAGTGGCCTGGTGCCCTTTCTCCACTGTTTATTCCTGCCAAGGCCATAGCCTATTCCCACCTGTTTCATTTTCCCCATGCACAAACCCCTCTGCCCCAGGGCTGATTGTCTCTTCTCTGGTTCCAGGGGYGCCCGGCTTATCCCAGAAATGGACCAGATCTTTACTGAGGTGGAGATGACAACTTTAGAAAAAGTCATCAATGAGACCTGGGTAATCACTGGGTGAATACATAACTGGTGTCCACAGGCCGAGTGACTTTCAGTCTGAGGGAAGAGCCTGAGGCTGGGCGGGACTTTGATTTCATCTGGGACAGAGACACCTGTTCTCCCCCTGTCTGGCTCTGAGCCTATTCTGGCCTTACCCACAGGCCTGGAAAAATGCAACTATGGCTGAGCAAGCCAAACTTCCTGCCACAGAGAAGCCTGTGTTGCTCTCAAAAGACATCGAGGCCAAGATGATGGCCTTGGACCGCGAGGTGCAATATCTGCTCAATAAGGCCAAGTTTGCCAAGCCCCGACCCCGGCCCAGGGACAAGAATGGCAACCGAACAGAGCCTCCCCTCAATGCCAGTGCCAGTGACCAGGGGGAGAAGGTCACCCCACCAGCAGGTAAGGGCAGGGTACCTGGCTCCAGGTTCTGTTGGGCAGGGAAGAATCCTCCTTTCCCTTCATCTTACTCCTGCTTTCCCTCCAGGCCACACTGAGGATGCAAAGCCCATTTCAGAACCTGAGAAAGTAGAGACTCGTGAGTTGGGAAAACCATGGTTGGGAATGGGAATATTGCATTAGCTTAAGAGTAGACAAAATGGAAGGCACAGCCTGTTTCTGGACAGCCCATGAACTGTAGATGGCCTTTACTCTTTTGAAGTTTTTTTTTTTTTTTTTTTTAATTATTATAGCTTTATAGTTATACATAGTAGTTGGGTTCATCCCAACAAACTCAATACTTGAGGTATTCGTTTAAAAAAAAAAAAACAAAAACAGACCAGATGTGACACACACACACTAAAATATTTACTAGCTGACTTTTTTTTTTTTTTTTTTTTTTTTTTTTTTTGGTACTTGGGCTTGAACCCACGGACCCTTAACCACTGAGCCACATCCCCGGCCCTTTTTATATTTTTTTAGAGGCAGGGTCTTGCTAAATTGCTGAAGCTGGCTTTGAACTTGGGATCTTCCTGCCTCAGCCTCCCAAGCCACTGGGATTACAGGCATACACTGCCGCACCTCGCCTAAAAATTCTAACCTCTCCTTAGCTTCTCCCTCCCCCCTCCTTTCCTTCTAAAACTAATCCATTCCTTCCAAAACGCAGGATCTGAACCAAAAGACACGGAGCCTCTGGAGTTGGGAGGTCCTGGAGTAGGTAAGGGTGGGACCTGGAGTATGCTGGGCAGTCTGGTGGGCTTGGAGGGAAAACATCTGCAAAGAATTGGGGCTCACTTACCTCTCTTCACCTTCCATGCTTTCCTTGCTCTCCCCAACTGCCAACAGACTCTGAACAGGAGCAGCCAGCAAGACAGAAGAGGCCTTTGAAGAATGATGAGCTATAACCCCCACTTTCAGTCTCCCCACTCCACTTCTCCTACCACCTCTATTTATTATACATCGGGGTTGGGGGAGGGGCTGGTCCTGCCTTCATAGGCTCAAATTCCTTCTCTCTCACCTGGGAGGGAGTGTGGAGAAGGGGCAGGATGGGCCACTCATCAGTTCCTTCTGGGGTAGCTCTGTGGTTAAAACCTGAACTTATTCTGATCCCCTCCCTACCCCCAGTTTCCTACCCATTTGGCCCTGCATTTGGGAAAAATCACTATTATGTCTTAATTATTTGCCTGTGGGTAGGTGAGAGAACAGTCAGAAGTGGTTTATGGTGATATGGGTAGTGGGAAGGATGTCCTGGGACACTGGAGAGCATCTTCTCTGGGCATCCTTCCTTTTACCATGAAATCAATGTCCCATTTGGGCCAGTGTCTACAGAGCCTTGGTCACCAGGTTTGGTTTCCAAGTGCCTATCTTTTCTTCTTCCAAGGTCTTCTCTTTCCATAACCCCTCCCCCCAGTTTCCATCTGGTTCCTTTTTTTATTCTTTTTCTTGGCTTCATGGTGCAAGTTGGGTGGTTCCCTGCCCCTTGCCCAGAGCCTTCCATCTGAACTGGCTGGAGTAAATCTCAAGTATCACCACCAGCATGTCTGGCCTCTTGTGGCCAGAGTTTGCAGGGAGCAGGTAAGGGAATCGGCTGCTCTGCAGGGAATGAGATGTATGAAAGTGCTGAAGCCCCCACTTGTGGGCTGTTGGGCCCAGGAAGGCCATGTAGAGTAGCTGGCATGGTTACGAACATCCTGCAGACACTCAAAATCCTTATCTTCCCAATAGCCTGGTACCCCAGGTTCTTAGGACTACCTGCCCCCATCTCTCCTGCTGTTCTGCCTCTTCCAGACAGAGCCTTCCCGCTCCCCCTGCCCCCCTGGGCTGACCAAAATGTGCTTTCTACTGTGAGCCCCCATTCCAAGACCCTGGGGGATGGAGAGACCATGGTGTGAATGTAAAAATGCCACCTCAGTCTTTGAGGAGGGCTTTGTGGGTAAAGGAAGATCAGGACTGGCCTGCCTTGTGCATGTTGCTCTGCTAGGATGGGGGTCCTTTCCCCACTATGCTGAGGCCTAGGGAGCCTGTCCTCCAGTATTCTGTCTGTAGCAGGAGCTAGGGCTGCCACCCCAGTTCCAGGACAAGGGCAAACCTGGTTGTGTCAGTTGTTTTGTCTCTCATTTTATTATTATTTTATTCTTCCTCTCCTCCTTTTTTTTTTTTTTTTTTTTTTTTTTTTTGGATTTGCCACATTGGCAGAGAGGGGCCTAAGGGTCTCATCCCCACCCCCATCTTCTGTATGTTTGAGTTATTTCATTAGCAGTTGAGGCTGGTTGGACAGGTTTGAATCAAATCGTACTTTGCTCCATTGTTAATTGAGAAACTGTTTCAATAAAATATTCTTTTCTACAGTTTTTGTGCTTTGCTTTTTTTAAATGTTTATTTCCTGAACATAAATAATTGCATGTTTAGTATAGAAAACTGAGAATATAGAAGTTTGTGTAATAAAATTACCTTTAGTTCTACCACCAAAGATTAACTGAAGTTTTACTACTGTATGTAGTTTTTCATTTTTGGAAACAAAATTTGGCTTTTACCATAACATTCTTTAGATCCCTGTTTCATCCATTTTTTATGTAACTTGTTTTCTTGTTATTTATAGTAGGGTCTTACTGTGTTGCCCATGTTGGCCCTAAACTGGGCACAAGTGAGCCTCCTGCCTCAACCTCCCAAGTAGCTGGGACTATAGGCATACACGATTGTGTCTGCCCTGTGACATCCATTTTGGAGGTAGCAACCCCCTTTTTTGCCAGGGAGGGACCAGGGATTGAACTCAGGGGCATTCAACTTCTGAGCACATCCCCAGCACTATCTTTTTGTATTTTATTTAGAGACAGGGTCTCACTGATTTGCTTAGTGCCTCTCTTGCTGAGGCTGGCTTTGAACTCACCATCCTCCTGCCTCAGCCTCCCAAGCACTGGGATTACAGGTGAGTGCCACTGTGCCCAGCTGGTAGCAACCCTATTTTACAAAAACAATAATCTGCAGTTCATAGAGGATCCGTTATTGGTTTAAGGAATCTGTTAAGTGCTTCAGTGAGGATTTTAAATAATGACCCATAAGCCCTTGTTCTTTTTACTATGCCACAAGAATGTGTTGATTAGGTTTATCATAGCACAGCTGATTTGGTTGTTAATTAGTTGAGATAGTCGTAATTTACCAAAGGAAGATGCTTATTGTTTTTTCATCATTTATATGTATAAGCAGTTGAATTATTATTATTGGTACCAGGGATTTAACCCAGAGGTGCTTAACCACTTAGCCACATCCCCAGCCCTCTTTATATTTTATGTGGAGACAGGGTCTCAGTTGCTTAGGGTCTTGCTAGGATGCTGAGGTTAGCTTTGAAATCATGATCTTTTTGCCTCAGCCTCCCAAGCTCCTGGGATTGCACATGCGTGCCACCAAACCCAGCTAAATTATTTTTTTCTCTGAAGGTTGAGGAATTTCAGTTTTGAACCTGGAAGTCATATTTCATGTATATATATAAATATATGTAATATTTTTATATTTAGAACAGTTTTAGATTCAGCATAATTGAACAAGAAGTACAAAGAAATATGTCCTGCCCCCACATACTTGGCCTCCCCCCTCTACCAAGTGCTACATTAGCTTCAACATGAACCTACACTTTTTGTTACTCTGTGTGATACTGTAACAGTGAGAAATATCATTATATATTTGTCAAATAGAATGTCCACCATGAAGACTAAATGCTAATGTAAATTGCTAACTAGGCAGTAATGATTGCCAGGTAGGTTCATTGACTAACAAATGTACTAACTGGTGTGGGATGTTCCCGGGGGCAGGCTGTGCATGGAAAGCTGGTGAGATTGTAGAGATATTAAAGTTCTTGCATACTGGTGGAGGAAATGTAAAATGGACAGACACTGTGGAAAAGTGTTTTGTTCCTCAAAAACTTACAGAATTATGGGACCCTGGAATTCCACTTTGGATATATACCCCCAAAAAACTGAAAACAGGAACTCAACAGAGATCCTTGTATGCAAATATTGGTAGTAGCATTATTCACAATAGTCAATAGGTAAACCCTAGTGTCCATTAATATTTAACAAACAAAATGTAGTATATGCACACAATATTTAGCCACAAAGAATATTCAGCCATAAAAGGAACAAAATTATTATACATAATGCAACATGGATGAGCCTTGAAAACATTATACTAAGTGACAGAAGCCAAGCACAAAAGGTCACATACTGACCATATTATTCTATTTATACAAAATRTCTAGAATAGGCAAATCCATAGATATGGAAAGTATATTAGTGATTGTCAAGAGCTAGGAGAAGGAGAGTATAGAGAGTACTAAGTTTCTTTTCTAGTTATGAAAATGTTCACTAATTAGTGATGATGACCTTACAACCTTATGAACATACTAAAAACCACTTAATTACACACTTGAAAGTGGTCAAATAGCAAGGATGGTGGAATGTGTTGGATATCATTATCCAAAGTACATGTATGAAGACATGAATTGGTGTCTACATACTTTATATATGACCAGAGATATGAAAAACTGCTGTAATAAGAATTGTGTAATAAGAATTGTAATGCATTCYGCTGTCACTTATCTTTTTGAAACAATTAAAATGTTCAAATATATGGTACTTGAATCATATCTGATTTTTAAAGTGTATGCATAGTATACTTATTTAAATTTGCTCTCTTTAATTGTACTATAGATGGAGAAACTAATAAATGCAATTTTGCAGGGCAGAGTAAAGATTCCTCCCACCATACACACACACCTTTTTTTTTTTCTTGGTCAGTATTTTCAGAATATCTTTTTAAATTCTTCCGTCTGCAATTAAAAAACAAATTTTTTTTTAGTTGTAGATGGACACAATACTTTTATTTGTTTATTTTTATGTGTTGCCAGGAATCAAACCCAGTGCCTCACCCATGCTAGGAAAGCACTCTGCCACTGAGCTACAGGCCCCCCAGCCCCTCAGAGTCTACTATTAATACACTATATTACAGGGTTTTCTTTTCTTTTTTTAAAGAGAGAGAATTTTTAATATTTATTTTTTAGTTTTCGGCGGACACAACATCTTTGTGGTGCTGAGGATTGAACCCGGGCCACAAGCATGCCAGGCRAGCGCGCTACCTCTTGAGCCACATCCCCAGCCCTCATTTTCTTTTCCAGTACTGGGATTGAACCTAGGGTGGTACTCTACCATTGACCTACATCCTAGGTTTTTTTTTTTGGAGACAGGATCTAAGTTTCCCACACTGGCCTCAACTTGCTGTCCTGCCTCAGCCTCTCAAATCACTGGGATTACAGTCACTGGGCTCCTATTTTCTATTTCGCTAACTTCTGCTCTTATCTTTGATTCTATCTTTCTTTGGATTTATCATCTTTTTAAAAAATTCTCAAGTTGGACACTTACCTAATTAATTTTTAGACATTTTTCTAATGTAAATATGTAAGTCTGTAATTTTCCCTCCAAGTATCCTGTGACTACAGCACACCGTTCTTAACACACTATTCATGATTTCTTCTTTGATCCATACTTTATTTCATGGTATGATTGTACTGTATTTCTTTTGAACAGATAATGCATTCAAAATTTGAAAGATACGGATTGGGGTTGTGGCTCAGTGGTAGAATGCTTGCCTAGAATAGGTGAGGCCCAGGGTTCAATCCTCAGCACCACATAAAAACAAACAAATAAAATGAAGGTTAAATTCTTTAAAAAAATTTTGAAAGATACTTATTAAGGATGTGCAGGGAAAAATCTCTTTCCTACACTCTTTCTCTTATCTCCCAGCTACCCAATTCCAATATGTGCATTATAGGAAACAGAAAAACACAAACAAAGAACAAAGTCATCAGTCACAAGCAGCTTAGTTGGGTGTGTCCCTCCAGGTTCTGTGTATACATGCACAACATCTCATTTTGTGTGGTTGAGATCAGAGTGTATATTGTGCTTTTCTACACATCATGAATATTCACCAATTCAAAATCCCAAAGCTACATGAGTATTTTTTTAATATTTATTTTTAGTTGTAGTTGGACAAAATACCTTTATTTTATTTGTTTCTTATGTGGTGCTGAGGATCGAACCCAGGGCCTTGCACGTGCCAGGTGAGCACTCTACCACTGCGCCACAACACCAGCCCTACATGAGTATTTTTAATAAACAAGAATACACTACACCAGGGCTGGTTCACATGTGGGAGGCACTGGGTTGGACTCTCAGCGCCACATATAAATAAGTAAATAAGATAAAGGTTCATCAACAACTAAAAAAATATATTGAAAAAAATACACCAACTCTGTTAGAAAAAAATTGTCTTTCTCTGAATTCATAGTTTTAGCAGCCATTAAGAGACAGCAGCTTTTCCCCTTTGTTAACCATTCTGAGACATTGTTTTCTTTTTAAAATTTATTTTTATTTTTAATACCTTTATTTTATTTATTCATCTTTTTTAAAAAATAGTGTTGAGGATTGAACCCAGTGCCTCACACATGCTAGGCAAGCGCTCCACCCCTGAGCCACAACCCCAGCCCCTGTTCTCTTTTTCATAAGTGTATTTAATCCATTTACTTTTTTTATTTTATTCATTTATTTATTTATTTTGGTACCAGAGATCGAACTCAGGGGCACTCAACTACTGAGCCACATCCCCAGCCCTATTTTTTGTATTTTATTTAGAGACAGAGTCTACACTGAGTTGTTTAGTGCCTCGCTTTTTGCTGAGGCTGACTTTGAAYTCGTGATCTTCCTGTCTCAGCTTCCTGAGCCACTGGGATTACAGTTGTTTGCCACCACACAACTTTTCCTTTTTCCTCTCTAGCTTCTGCATATGAAAGAAAACATACAACCCTTCACCTTCTGAGTTTGACTTACTTAATGGTCTCTAGTTCTATCCATTTTCCTGCAAATTCCATAATTTTATTTTTTCTGTAGGACTGAATAAAACTCCATTGTGTATATACACCACTTTTTCTTTACCCATTCATCTGTTGATGGATACCTAGGCTGATATAGTTTAGTTATTGTGAATTGTGCTGCTATAAACATGGGTATGCATGTATCACTGTAGTTAGATGACCTTAATTCTCCAGGATAAATACTGAGGAGTGGTATAGCTGGATCCTAATGTGGTTCCATGCCTAGCCTTTTGGGAAACTTCCATATAGATTTCCACAATGGTGGAACTAATTTACARTCCCAACAAGAGTGTGAAAGTGTTCCTTTTCCTCTACATCCTCTCCAGAATTTATTATATGTATTCCTTTTTTTTTTTTTTTTGTAGCTATAGATGGA